ATAAAATAGGCAGTCTTTATCTCTCAAAAGAAAAGCCCACTGAGTCAAAACCTACGAAGGAGACTTAAGAAAAAAAATTGGGGTATCCCGCTGACTATAATCTCAAAATAGTCAGGCAAAAATTAGGGATAATAAATCAAAAGAGGTCACTACAAATCCTCGACAACATGAAAAAATGTTGCAAATATAGAGAAGTCTAGATCAACTTCTTCGTCAGGTTTGGGTAGCTTGCCACGGATAGCCGTGGTAGGCTCATGTACCATCGCATGGCCACATCCTTGAAGGGGCCAGCCATCAATTTACACTTCAGTGAGCCAGTGGGGCCTATTATTTCCATTTGGTTGTTGACGGAAATAACATGCCCCTAAGGATCGCTTTTGCCGTCGTAGACTGTCAGCGACGGTGATTTGAAGTTTTTTGGGACATGATCGTGTCAGATAGCTTGAGAGAGAGGTTAGGATTTCAGAAGCTCCTCTTCTGGACCATCGTCCCCCACACTTCTTTGTTGCAGGTCTGAGACACTATCTTGCATAGTTTCATTCTACCGCTTGAGGGCTTCCACCATGGCTAATAGCTGGCCATGTCTGGGGGTTCTCCAGGTGATGACATTCTGCTGAATGTGGATTGGAGTCTGGCCTAGGAATAATTTTGTAGAGGCCCCATGGTGGGCGCCAATGTTCTTGCATAGGACAAATATTCGTCCAACCTCCCGTTATAGATGGGGAAAGCCACAAAAGTAGATTTTGATTATTAGTGGGGATTTGGGAGCTATGTTAGGGAAGTATGTGTCTTAAGAAGAATGTCTTACTTATCCCTCTTGTGGGAGCCCCTTTTATAGTTGTTCTCTTTTATATCATCAAGATCCTCAGCTTATGAGTGACTCTTGAGTTCCTTAACTCTATAACATTTTTCGTCTCCATAAATGAAGATGATTAAAGTTGTGTAACATTGTAAAAAGTGCACCGTTAGAGGTTACAGGCATTAATGGACCGAGTTGATTACCAGTTAAGGGCAGGTGGGTCTCATCCACCATCCTTATCTGGGTCCAGGATGTTTTATAGGTTGCTTCCCGGTTGTGAGCCATATGGTATTCTTCAGTCGAGTTGTATCCCGGGTACCTTCACAGTTCATCCGACTACTAGTTTAATCTCCTTTTATGCCGGTTATACTACCCAGTGGGGCCTGATATTTCCGGAATGTACACTTTGCTTTATCATCCCCTTCATAAGCTTTCTTCAATATTCACACGCTTGCTTCGTCGATCCGTAATCACCAACCTTTTCAAAGTTCTCATTATCGGCGCAAGAATATATCAAGAAGAGTGCTTTATAATCTTTCTTCTTATCTTCCTTTAATGCAGCCTATTGAGCAATTGTAGCTTCTTTCCCAAGTGGTGTAACACTGTAGGGTCAAGCGCTTACCACTGAGCTAAAAGCAATTGCTTGTAGCCAAGGTGCTACTCTATTTCCTTATAGAGAATCTAACAAGGGGCCTACCTGGCCCACCTAACACACCTGTGTAGGCGCCAATGGGGGGATGTTAAGCCCTTCGAATCCCTAAGGTTTACGCTGGATATTTTAATCCAACAATCTCCCCCCCAGTGTCAGCCGGGGGGATTCGTACCCATGACCTTGCTCTGATACCACTTGTAGGATCAAGCGCTTACCACTGAGCTAAAAGCAATTGCTTGTAGCCAAGGTGCTACTCTATTTCCTTATACAGAATCTAACAAGGGGCCTACCTGGCCCACCTAACACACCTGTGTAGGCGCCCATGGGGGGATGTTAAGCCCTTCGAATCCCTAAGGTTGATGCTGGATATTTTAATCCAACAAACACCATCGTTAACCACTTCAAGAATGTCTTGATACCCAAACAAAAATTTCATTTGTTTGCATCATTTGTCATTGTTCTTGGAGTCAAGGGTTGGAAGATTGGTAGGGATTCGATCATTGGAAATGGTAGACATGTTTGCAGCGGATTAATGGATCAGAATCTACACTGTTGATGCCAAATGTTGGAACATGCGCAAAATAAGTTGGTGAATTAATTGTGAAAAATGGTTAATTGGAGAAGATGAAGTTAGAGAGAATTTGGAGATTATGTGTGTGTGAGAGAGAGAGAGAGAGAGAGAGAGAGAGAGAGAGAGAGAGAGAGAGAGAGAGAGAGATAAAGAGAGAGAGTAATTGAGTAGAAAAGTTATTATGGCATTAGTTTCTAACAAACATTACATGAGGATTGATATAGGATATCACTAAAACACAAATTGGAACCAAACAGACCCAAGAAAATAGAAAAAACTCAAAATATCGCGCTGGAAATCGATTTTCCAAAATAAGGGAATCAGTTTCCTAATATGAAATTGCAAATCCCAGAAAAACCCAGTTGTGGAAATCGATTTCCTCTTCGAAAATTCCAAATTTTAGATTTTCAGAAGTACTTCTCAAATAAGTTGTTTTCAACTAAACGATTTCTGAAGTTATATATATATATATATATATATATATATATATATATATATATATATATATATATATATATATATTAGTTATTTGATATAATTGATCAAAATTCCTGAATTGGTCAATTGATTAAAACATTTGTGTGATTATAATGGGTACTATATTGTAAATGTTCAGTATAGAATATTATAAGTACTATCGTAGTTGGATGTACGATTGTACGTATGCTGGATGACGCAAACTTAAACTACATTTTGAGGAAGGAGTTAAAGTGTTTATTACATTGGCATTTTATCAAGAATGTTATCGAAGAGAATGAGGAGTAAGATGTATGTGTCATAAATGTGGATGTAGACGTATAATAAGTAATCCAGAAGAAGTATAAACTCATTTAAAGAGAAAGGGATTTAAGGATAATTATTGGGTTTGGACATCAAATAGAGAAGAAATGTCGATGAATATGTCAGAGACTAATAATTTACAACAGAGTTCAAGTAGTCGAACACAGATGGAATATGAAGAATAATTTAATCTACACGATGACATGATTGAAGATGCTTTAAGGGGTGAATATGGCCTACGATGAACAACAAGATTGTGATGAGGAAGAGTTGTCGAACGAGAAAGCTTAAATTTTTTATCAGTCTGTGGTATAGCGACGACCGTGCTCGAAATACTCAAGTAAGATGATATTAATATTTAAATGTTATATATATTTAGTTCTTTTATTTAAATAAATGGCCTAAACTCTATTATTTAATTTAATTTTTTATGTATGTGTGGGCGAGGTACCAAAGACTGAAGGAAATATTTTTATCTCAACATCCTCTTGATCCAGCTGTTGATCCATATCTTTGGATGAAAGCATGTAAGAGAAAATAAAAATGGGAAAATTATGCTACTGAACCTTTAGTCTCTAACTACAGAAAAGAGGATATGTATTCTTTATTTAGGAGAATTGCAGACGGGGAAGGGACCTCACGTCCTCTGACATTAACCCCTCAAATGGCTGAAATAATTAGACAGTTAGCTCAAAATGAAGCATCACGTGAAGCCGCGACACGAGAAGCTGCAAAAAAATGATGAAATGAGAAAAAACAAATTGAGTTGGAACAAACATTGAGAATATCACAAGAGAAAATAAGGTGTACACAACAAGAAATGCAACAAATGTTTCAACAATAATATGGTGGTGGTGAAGTTGGAGCGGTTGGCGATCAAGAAGCGGTAGGCGAGAATGAGAATGATGAAGACAACAAGAATGACAATGACTATTTGGATCCATGAATTTAAATATTTTGAATTTATTATGAATTTGATTAGTTATGGATTTTTAAAATTAATTATGAATTTAAATATTTTTAATTATTTATGAATTTAACATTTATCATTAATTTTTGAATTTAAATTATTTATTATATTTATATTATTATAAATATTAAAATTAATATTTAGAATAATATAAATATATTATATTTTTTATTATATTATTTGCGGATAGCGTGGTACAATTTATTTGATAATTTTAAAATATTTGTGAGGTAATTTTTATTCACCAATGTATAGTCAATTCAAAATTTGTCAGGTGAAATTCACCTTGCAATTTTCTCTCTGCTCTGCTCTGGAATCTCCTGCTTTGCTTACTGACACACGCGTTTTTCTACTCTGGATTCTGGAAAAGGGGTTGCGAGGTTAATTTCACTCGGCAACATTGCGAAGTGAATTCCACTTGACTAACTTGCAGTGTGCGTTTCACCTAGCAACTTGTCGCGACTAGCCTTTTTGCGGGATGTAGTCTACTCCATAATAGTTCAGCTGCCGGGTGATATTTGCATTTTCAAAGTACTTTTCACCTTGCAAATTGCAGTTTTTTTTAGTAGCATTCTTAAAGAAATTTCACATATTATTAATTAGCTAATAATTTTTACGGGATGCGTTTCACCTGACAATTTGTTGTGACTAGCTTTTTGGCAGAGTGTTTAGTCTATTCTGCAATAGTTCAGTTATATGGTGATATTTGCATTTATAAAGTGTTTTTCACTTGGTAAATTGTAATTTTTTTTAGTGACATTCTTAAAAAAATTTCACATATTATTAATTAGCTAATAATTTTTGTTGAACAGTTTTAATTGTTCTATTAATTTTATAATTATCACGCATATAAAAACATAGTCAAAAAAGACATCAAGACAAAAAAAAACAACCTCAGTCAGATTCACTAAGTTTGTTAGATACATTTGGTGTGAGAATAGGTTAATCATCAATTAAACATGTATGTCAAGTTTATTATTTAAGGAAACACGACAAACAAACGTATCTATACCGTTCTAAAAAATAATATCAAATGTCATGTTGTGTATTATTGACCAAAAACATATATATTTGTCAAGTTGGGTACAAAGTCTTTTAATAATGGAGTATAAATTTTTGTATTTTTCGCACTCACGACTATATATAGATGAACGATATAACACAAATCATATTGCACAGTTAGCTTACATATAAAGGATAAAGATTTGTTGCTCTCTTAATATTTATAATGGTGGAAACTACATCATTTGTATTAGGAGATCACCAACATAATGATAATTATCTAGCTTCTGATGAAGAAATACCCACAATTGATTACTCTCTATTATTATCTCATGACCCTTATCAAAGATCTATTGCTCTTGAACTCCTTGCTCATGCATGCAAGGAATATGGCTTCTTCTATGTAAGTTAAATTCTTTGTCGATCTCGTGTATATAATAAATATCTATGTACAACCTTAATATAAATTAGAATTCACAATAAATATTTTTTTTATTTTTATTTTTTTAATAAGCAAAATCATTAATATATAGAGTACAAGAGGTAATTATATTTAATTATATTTACTTCAACTTCATATGTGCAGCTGAAAAATCATACCATGCCAGATAATGTACTCAAAAATGTTTTGAAAGGAATTTCTAATTATTTTGATCCAACAACTGTTGATGAGAGAAGGATCTACTATGAAAATGGTCCATCTGATAATGTTCGATGGGCACTAAAAGCTAATGATGGAGAAAATAGAGAATATCTTAAAGTTGTTGCACATCCTAAGGATCTAGCTCCTTCTAATCCAACAAGTCTCAGGTATATATAATATTTAATTTAATGACCAATTTTATATTTTGTAATTTAAATTCACTATATTTTTGGTCATTTTGTTCATCAGCAAAATTATAGAAGAATACAACAATGAAATGAGAAAGATTGTAGTTGGATTAGCAAGGGCCATGTCAAAAAACTTAGGGTTTGATGAAAACTACATAGAGAAGGCCTTCCACATGAAGTTAGGGTTTGATGTAATGGCCATGAATCTTTACCCACCTATTTCTAAGTCCAAGAGTGATATTGGTCTCCCTAACCACACTGATCCTGGTTTTGTGATCACCCTAATGCAAGATGTAAATGGGGGACTCCAAATTCTATCACATAAAGGGAAATGGATTAATGTTTATATTCCTCATCATGCTATACTCATTCAACTTGGTGATCATCTTGAGGTACTTTGTTCAAATTAATTTCATTTTCCAACCTATATATTGAAAACTTTGAATCTGATAAACAACTAACAAAATAAATAATAGCATCTAATAATAAAAAAACCAATTATTGATATTAAAGCACATGCTTTATCAATTATAGACAATGATAATGAGCACAAACATCTTTAGAATTAGGAAATTATGGTAGTATGAAATAAATCAGTATTCGAACTTGTGTAACACTCATATGATATTATCAAAAAATTTAGACGGATAATCCTTTTTATATGCTTTGAATCAGTGTCTAACATGTGTATAACACTCATATGATACATGTGAAATCAATTTCTTTACTTCTACATACCTTTTTTTTTTTGTACAAATTTCAAACATGTCTGCAAGCAATGTTGATCAATGAAGGGTTAAAAATGTTTAATTCATTATAATTTTTTTAATAGCAAATATATAAATAAAGGCCAAAATACTATCATGTGTATGTCAACATTATTGATGACAGAATGTTAATGTTGTATCCCTTTGTCATTAGTTTAAGTATTTTGAATAATATTACCCAATTTCCACTAATGATTCATTTGATTGTAGATCTTAACTAATGGGAAATATAAAAGTCATGTCCATCGAGTTATTGTTAACAATAACGAAGTGCAAAGGCTCTCTATTGTTACCCTTCATGGACCTTCGTTGGACAAATTCATTGTCCCAGATACAAAATTTGTTGATGATGAAAATCCACAAAATTACACTGGAATGACTTATAAAGAATGCTTGGAAGCAAATGGGGGAAATCAGATTGATGTACAATCATCACTTGATCTAATTAAGCTAGTGCGAATGAGGGTATAGTTAATTATATGTGATAATATTAAATGGATGGGTTGCTAGATTGTTCTCTCTAGGGAAATTAGGTATCTTTTTAAGTTTTTTCTCTCTTTTAGTGGTAGGTCGAAGAGATGGGGTTATAATACTATTGCTTGGTACGAAGTTATGAGGTCTATTTAGATTGTTCATAATAATATTATTTTTTTCTGAATCTTCAACAAACATGAAAGAAGTGAAGGACGGAAGTATTTTTTTGGTTTGGAAAAGATTTATAAGTAAATAAGTGATGAACTCATGTACTTTTTATGATTGGTTTAAGAATCATATCACATGTCGTAACCAATAGGGGATCGAGAGTTTGGGTTCATGGACCAGCTTGTGGCCTTGGTATTTCTCTTGGGAGTCTTTGATATATTGATGGTGGTTTTAGATGTGTGAGATCTAGCATGTTCCTTTGTTGAGATGTTGTTTTAGTTTGATATTTAGGTTGTTATGTTATTTCTTTTCAATGTTTGGGATTTTGAGTATCTTGTGTTGTTTCACTATTAGTTAAATCATTTAAGTACTTCTTATATTTTTTTATCTTTCTCTTATAGTACCTTGTTTCACTAATAGTTAGATCATTTAAGTACTTCTTATATTTTTTTATGTTTATGTTATAGTACCATCTTGTAAGATTATTCTCATTTTCTAATATACTATTTTTCCATTTGAAAAAAATTATAATAATACAATCTTAATACTCCTTATTAATAATGTATTAGGATAATTGTATTGGGTCCTAGAAGAGATAGTCTAGAAGGAAGCGAAGCAGGCAAGAACGAAGACATCGTGCGAGCGGCTCAAAGATGTGATAGGTCACTCGTATGGGTTTGGCCTAGGTAAGCGCTTGGTCACCCGAAATGGGCTTAGGCTGCTCCATTAGTTTTCTAATTATCGTTCGTGTAATGAACGTGGATAATTATGTGCATAACTAATAACTGGCTAGAGAGAGTGTCAATGGAGGAAAAATGCCTCTCCATAATCTAAGGGAGAATTAATCCCCCCTTATCCATGTTCTCTGAGGAGGGAGCCTAGAATTTTCCCACTGACTCTTTGACCTAGGACCAATGAGCCTTCTATAAATATCTCATCCTTGAAATTATAAAAGATATCTAATATTTCTGAAGAAAAAAATTATACACAGAGTTTATCGTAGCCTCATGTGAGCTAGTCCTAAATATAGCTGAACATCCTAAACACTAAAGATAGCCCTACACAATAAGGGGTTGTCCTCATTGTACTTTTTTAGTAAGTACAATTAGTGTCCATCATGGGACCCTAATAAAACTGAATTGAGCAACCTTCATAATTCAATATCAACTTGTTATGTGTCTCTTCAATCCTTTCCAACATTATAAATAAGTCATCAACGACTTCAGCCTACAACAGCTCTGGCGGCGACCATGAGGTTGTGACATCGATGCGTGTTAATGTTGGCAATTTGTGTCGCAACACCAAACTTTGGAGGATAATATCCTTAACCTCTTGTAGCGCCAACAGAAGACCAAACCCACTAAGGAGAAGGAAGTTTTGGATCCCCAACCTCTCTCTAATGAAATTTAGGGAGCCCTGTACCAGAAAGTTTCAAGCCACATTTACACGTAAAATTCGATGGAAGAAGTGATCCCCAAGAGTCTGTAGCCTCCATTAACACACGTATGGAGATTATCGGAGCCTTAGATTCTCTAAAATGAAAGATCCTCTCCAACACCTTCAGGGCGCCATGCTAAAGTGGTACATGAGTCTGCCACGACTATATGTCACAATCTATAATGACCTAGTAAAAAAGTAGATCCACCAATTCTTAGCTAGAAAACACGGGAGGATGTCGACCACTAACATGTTCGAAATGTCCTAGAGACCTTCATAATCCTTAAGGGAGTATCTCACTAGGTTCAATGAGGTGATTGTCATGGTCTTCCACTCAAACCAGAAAATGTTCACATGAGCCTTCCAAAATGGTTTAAGGGTCATACATTTTAATGAATCATTTGCCAAAGGACCCGACACTTCTATGGCAGAGGTAGTGATGTGCGTCGAATGTTACATAGAGCGCGGGAAGAGCAACACGGAGAAAAAGGATAGGATGCTAAGGAGCAGACATCTGGAAATCTTCATTCCTCGCAGTAGTACATAGTGCAAAAGCACTATACCTCTACCTTTAGGGATAATAGGGAACCCTTCAAGCTTATTCGAAGACCTACAGAGAACTTCACTCCTCTGAACACTCGTCATGAATAGATATGACATGATATCCTTCACAAATATGATATTTGTAACACCCCAGTTTTTATTAGATTATTTTAATTGAGTTATTTATGAATTCTTTATGATTTATATTGTTTTATTTAATTATTGTGTATGAATAATTAGATAAATAAGAGGGTATAAGTGTTTGTCATATAGATAGAGGTGTAGAGAATAAGTTGTGACTTGTTGGAGTTGATAGAAATTATTTAGAAATTATTTAATAATTAGAATAAAGAGTATTTTAATTAAATTATTTAAATTAGTGTGACAGGGGTGTGTGAGCATGAAGGGTGAGTGTAGAGAGTAATTAGAAGTTGATAGATTTTATTTAAAATTATTTTATTAATTAAAATAATGCTCTAGTTTTTATTATTAAAATAAATAAATAAATAAAAGAGGACATAGGTGTGTAGAGGAACTAAGGGAAATATTGGACTTACGATGAGTAAGTGAGGATAAGGTAGACATTATGAGAAAATATTAAGGTTAAGATGAGGATAGTTTAATTAGGGAACTAGGTTTTTAGAGTATTATATTTTGGGAGAAAAGAGAAAAGAGTCAAGATTCTAAGAAGAAAGAAAGAGGCTTAGGACTTGAGAGAGAAAAAGACAAGGATCGATCAAGAATTTTCTGCAATCACAAGGTAAGGGTGAGAATTTGGTCCAACAATAAGGGTGTGATGAAAGGGTAGAGTAGGATTTTTAATTTTCTTTCGATTTATGATGATAATACAATTTTGATATATAATAATATGGATTATGTTCATGTGTATTGATATATTGTTGTGGTGTTCATGGATCAATTGAGTTAAAATGAAATTCGTGTGAATTAAATGTTTTAAGGCACAAGTTTGATTAATGATTCAGGTTTAATTGTGTTAAAATTATGAATTAATTTGAGATAATTAGGGTATTGCATATGTTGTAATTTTGTGAGCGTTTGGATTTTTACGGAATCGAAATCGGAGGTTCGGAAGGCCTCCAACGGTGGAAAATGTAGAATTCTACATTCTGCAGATGTCTAGAGCGTTGCGAAAAAGCTGACGTTAGTTACGGTAACGGTTCAACTGTCGCTGATTTAGGCTGGTTTTATTTATATTTTGTTTTTACCATAACTTTTGACTCTTAAGTCCAAATGTCTCCCTGTTTGAAGCTTTGAAAAGCTAATGCAATTTACCATCAAATGAAAATTATTTCAGAGGATAAATGTGTCATGATAACATGAATAAGTGATGAGAATTGTGTGTATTTGTTAATATTTTCTTGTGGTGATGTTAGGATGTTGAGAATAATTATATTTAGTTAATAATGAAATGTTAATGTTATAATGAAATAACATGATTGTATGTTTGTGAATATGAATATATTGAGTTTCTAAAGTTCATGTTATTATTGGTTAATATTGATTAATGTTTGTGTATGGTGTATGATGTTGTTATGTCGATGTTGTTATGATGATGTTGTTAATGATGTTGTATGTTTAAATATATGCATGCTATATTAATGTTGTTGTGATAATGTTGTTAAGGTGTTGATGATGTTGTGTCACACTACTATGTTTTCTATTGAATTCTTTTTGATTTTATAAGTATATTATTGTGGTGGTTGGCTAGTGGCGAGTATGTGATGTTGAAATATTGAATAAAATTGGCGTTGAATGATTTTGATATTTCTATTATGTTTTGGAATAATAGTTCGAGTAGGGTGAACAATTATCGTGGGTCAATGCATATTGTTTATTATTGGGAGGGGACTTTAAACATTATGTTGTTGTTGAATTGATGTGTTTTGACATGCACTCATGATGTTGTTGTTGTTGATGAAAGAGGCAAGTTACAATTCAAGCATGGTGGATTTGTGACTTGTCCCGAATCCGAGCAATGTGGGTTCGGGATTCGAGCAGGGTGAACCTGGTCCCTTAGTGAACCAACTATTGAGGATATGGTACCACATGTACATGCATAGAGTTGCATAGCGGAGTTGCATTACATAACGAGTTATATGTACATTGTTGAGATATAAATGTTGGGTGTGTGAATGTAATTGATATATTATGATTAAGATTGTGTTGAATATGACTATGTGTGATGTTGTTATTGTATATGATATTGATGATGATTTGGGTGTGACAATGTGATATGTTTTTGTTCATGTTTGTGTAAATGTTGTACTCTGTCTTACATTCTATATCATTATTATTGAAATGAATTTTCACCCCTTTTGTTTGAATGTTGCATTTACACGGGCATCGTGCAAATATTCAAGAGTAGAGACGTTGTTGTGAGTGGAAGCTAGCTCTTGGAGCTATCTATTTTAGATTCTTTGCTTTAATTTTGGGTTATGCTTTGATATGTAATATTGGGGAGCGATTTCTTGTTCATGTTGATATTTTCTGAACAATAATGTATGCTCTTATATGTTTATGTTTTTATGTGTTTAGAATTTGGAGAAGACTTACGAGTCGATGCTTTTGTTTTAATATGAAGTTTTATTATGAGACTTAAAGTGTTGTGTATCTTAATTATGATTTTCTTGCTATGTTATCAGATGAGTTGGATGTCGTGTAAATATCCTAAGTGAAATCGTGTGTCTTAAAATATTGTGTTGAAGTGTTTATTTAGATTATGTGTTACACGAACAATAGGTGCATGTATTTTGAAATGTGTAACATCTTATGTGCAAAAGTTTTGAAAAAGTTGGGCAAAATCTCTTATTTATTGTATAATTATGTGT